AATAAAACAAATTTAAAATGAAGTGAAAATAAAGCTAATACTTCTACTATAACAAATAATGAATTATCGAAAAGTGTTGGTATGCACACTCAGAAAAAGATTTTAGTTAATTTAACCAGATTTTAACTAAATGTTAGGTCAAAATATATTTACTTGAATCATCATTTTGGTTCAATCATATCACATATTGGTTTTCATATCGTCTTTACCGCATGAAATTTCTCTAACAAAATGATCAGATTAGAACATATTCTGCTGGGTGTATACGTGTATATTATTACGAGTAATAATATACTCGTACTAGGGCTTAAGTGAAGATTCTTTTGACATCTTAAAACAATGCAAAGAAATATTTTTGATACATAAAATAATTTAGTTTTATTTCTTGTCAAAGTCTTTCTTCAACTTTGCTCACAATTCAAGCCAATAATATGTGATGAGATCAAGAGATTTAGTAAATATCGAGTTACAGAAAAAACAGTTGACTTTTGATTAAGTAACCATCGAAGGATTATTATAAAAATAACCTTCACAACATATTCTCGAAATAATCTTTTGTGTCGTATAAAAATAAATGAAATAAAATAAAATTTAATTGAATTTTAAATTTTTACCTCATTTGAATGGCATCATTGTTAAAATAATAACATAAAAATATATAGCACCTTTATTAACTCGTCGACTGTTTCCATTAACTCTGAGATACTGAGAAGTGTGTTTAGCTTAAGTCAAAGGTAAATATCTGTGAAAACTTGTCAAGAAGGTGTACATACTCGTAATCGAAAAAACGCACAATGCAACAATAAAAATGGCTTAAATATTTTGCACTTAAACTCTGCAATATCCCGAATATCCTGAAAAATGTCAAATATACGAGTACCACACTGAGTACTTCAACAGGCAGCAGAAAGAAAGGAATACAATGTAAAAGGTTCCTTTTTCGCTTTTTGAGTTGTGAAGGAACTGCAAACTTGTAGTGAAGGAAGGGTGAAAGCTAAAGGTACTGGTATCGTACCTAGTGATTCCTATTGAACATTTAACATACACTTTACATGTGTTTTGCATGCCTTCTTTCGTAGTTAATGGCTGTAACAATGGTACTACAATATGAGTTCGAGTGTAACCGATAAAAATGCTTAGCAGAAAAAAAAAAAATTGGAACAGAAATATAAAATATAGAAAAAATTTGGAGAAATTGTAGTACAAATATAGCAAAACCTGTTAAGAACAAAATCTAAAGTGTTTCGGTATGTTTTTCTTCCTCTGGCAAGTCGCTTAACTAGGTTTTTTTACCTTCCCACCTTTTTTTGGGTCAAAATTTTATTTTCATTCCTATTTTTTTTCCATTTCTGTGGACTTGGCAATATTTGCTTTTTATTCGAAGTTATTTGGCGCTTTTAGTCTTAGTAAGTGAACCAGTACCATTCCGAAAATAAAAAATAAGTTACACTCACCGTGGTTTGGTTGTTTATCTTCAGAGTGGAGCAGCCGCCATATGCTGTTGCCGCCGTTCATGTCATTTTTCGGTACGAGCACTTTTTTTTTGCCATTTTTGCGGGTGTAATAATTTTTTTTGGGGTTTTCACAGTTAAAGGAGGACATTTCAGCGGTTATCTTCTTTATTTCCGCTGTCTGCTGAAGCTGTGTGGTGGCAATAAGTTTGGACAATTTTTTTGAATTCCTGGTTTAGTATTTTTTTTTTTTTTGGAACTGATTGCTTGACATTTTCTACGATTGCGACGGTGAGTGCTTACGGCAAAATGATGGTTTTGTGGATTTGGCGCCCAGTTCATGTTACAAACCAAATTTGTGCATGTAAACATTTAAGCAGAAAAAAAAGGATCCAGTAGTTTATGACTATATTGTATCCTTAAATAGCTGAGCGTGTATGTTGGTAAAACGGAAGTGTTGCTTTTTATAACTTATTTTATTTATTTATTTTTTATTTTTTGCTTTATTGAGCTGCTTTCATTTCCTCTCTTTCTGCTTATCTGCCTTTCTTATTTTTATTTTAATTTGCGTTTAGCTACCTACGAATATGAGTATACCTTCATATGATTCAATGCAGCCAGGACTATACCATTGCATGCAACTACTTATGTAGCTAAGTATATGTCTTCATATGTAAATATTTGATTACAATTGACTTGAATTGCTATAAGAGTGCCTATTAGTGTGTGATACTACAACCCACTTTGGTGTATTATTACTTCTCATGTAAATATTTGTTTAAAAGTGTTTATTTTGGCACGAGTATTCAAGTCGAAAATGATATAAAGTCAACCTCATTTATTTTGCTTGCGAGATTACGGGCAAGTCAAAGGTGATAGTTCAGACGTACTTAGCTATATGAGTACTTAACTTATATGTCAGTTTATCAAAAGCTTATATCACGTTGCGCTACCAGTATTTTTGATTTTTTCACTTTCATAGTTAATTCATAGTAGCGGGAAATGCTTTTTATAGTTAATAAGAGATTACTAAATTTAATTATAATTTCCTTTATTAAGCGAATATCTGATTAATGCAAATATGATTCCTATAGCTCTTGTTCTGATTAAAAATAATTAATTTAAAAATAATTAACTATTAATAATGCATAGCTCTTTTAGCTTATAGCTCTTATTTTTTAATTAATAGTAATTAATTTAATCTATATTCATAAAAGAAAGTTGTGTTAGTTAGACTACTTATAACTCAAGAACGGCTGCATCAATTTTAATTATCTTTGGTTTGTTGGATTCGTCTCCGCTCCGAATAGCAGAATATATTATAAAATATTGGAATAATCCACTAATTTTAACCTAAATAATAAATTTATAAATTTCTGTTTCAAACTGTTGACAGTTTGAGGGATACTGAGTTTTTTTTATATATCTGCGTGTCATCAATATTTCAAATATTTCAAATTTTAAACATAATAAATAAATACTGTCATCAATATATGAGCTGTAAGTAAAATCTCCGCTCCGAATAGAATATATTATAATAGAGAATAGAGAATATATTATAAAATATTGGAAAAATCCACTAATTTTAACGTAAATAATAAATTTATAAATTTCTGTTTCAAACTGTTGACAGTATGGCAGTTTGAGTGATACTGATTTTCTTTTTGTATTCTTGAGTGTCATCAGTATTTTAAATTTCAAATATAATAAATTTCAAATATAATAAATAAATATTGTCGTCAATATGGTATATGAAGATTTTTCCAAGCAATTGCTGACAATCGGTTATGACCGTGTGCCTGTTGAAGAACCGAGCAGATTAATTGCATTTTCTTTAAATTTTTGCAATTTCGTCTCACCAAAAGACGAACTCATCAACGCAGTTTTTCCGAACATCATTGATAGTCATAAAAATCACAAATGGTTAAGTGAGCGAGCAATTTTGGGGGCTAAGAACAAAGATGTGGATGACTTGAACTTTGTAATTCAAAATCCAATCGTTGGTTCTCTGCATACATTCAAATCTATTGACTATGTAACAAACGAAGACGAAGCTATCAAGTATCCAACTGAATTTTTGAATTCCTTGGAGCCAGGCATAGGCTTACCACTGCACAATTTACAAATAAAGGCAAGTTCGGTAGTCATTATGCTTCGGTTTGGTAGTCTAAACCAACCAAAACTATGCAATGGAACGCGATTGTTGATAATAAAACTGATGGCTAATGTGGTTCACGCAACGATACTTAAAGGAAAATTCAAGTGATGAAGTTCTCATTCCGAGGATTCTAATGATCCCAACCGATATGATCTTTGAGTTTGAACCAATTCAATTTCCTATTCGGCTTGCATTCGCCATGATGATAAATATATCACAAGGCCAATCCTTGAGAGTTTGTGGTCTGAATCTAGAAAATGTATATTTTTCTCATGGTCAATTGTACGTGGCTTGTTCATGTGTAAGCAAACCATCGTATATCACAAGGTACCTTACTGAAGAGAATCAATCGGAGTACAACCCATAGCTTTTTAGCTTCTTCTGACAGACCATTGAAATAATTGATTATATATTAATATCATAATAAACTACTAAACATAATAAATGAATTGTGTTCATTTTAATAAATAATTTCACGTTAATAAATTTCTAAATTTAGTTTGCTTAAAATTTAATATAACATTCATTGATTGTTTCTAAACTACACTAAACTAAACTATTAATTTATTATAAACTATTAATAATGCTTAGATTAGTTCCATAAAAAATGAGGTAATATTACGATTTTTACTACAAAATCTATACAAAATTCACATATAAATACGCTAAAGAGGACGATAAGTCAAAGTGATAATATAGTATATTATTAACCAATTGACATCACCAAAGAATGGAATTTCATTTGTTTGATATTGCACGTAAAATAAAACCAGAATAAGACGTGTTTGGTACAACTATGCTATTGCAATCTCTAATATAAACATATATAAGTACCTTCAATTTGATGGAAAAAAACATTTGCTGTCATGTTGCTATAGTGATTATAATTGACGTTTACTCTCGTTAATTTAAAAAAAAACAGAGCTGAATCATACCTCCGACTCAAATACTGCACTATACAATAACGTATTGTAGATACAAAATTCTTCAGTTAGCTAATTCTACATTATTACTGCTCCAAATGTTAAATGCGACAATTTTGTTATTTACACACCCATCAAGTGAACAATGAGCCCCAACACTAAAGAAAACTCTATTAAAAATAGTTGAAATTCAAAATTTTAGCTCGCTCAGTGGTTGTTAAACGATCCAAATTATAAAATGGCAAACTTTTGGCTCAACATATGACAATATAAACAATAATTCTGCTTGAGAGAGTATCACAAAGGGGATAGCGCTACCCCAAATCACGTTTTTGGAGTCTTCTTGTTGGATTTCTATAACATACTAACACACCATGTCTTTACAATAAAGAAAAACTAGAAAAGCAAATTGAATGTATCAATCAATAAATTTATAAATAATGACGACTTCAAATAATTATAGGTTATTGTTAAGTGGTTTCTATTTTAATTGTTAATTGTAAAATTCATTTTAGTAGTAAATCTTAGTGCCGAAAAGTGTTTTAAATTACATATTGTTTTAGCAAGAGTTATTAGGATACAAAAGAATCTCTTTGTTGAACGTTTCGAAATCACAATCAAAGTTCCATTCCCTAGTTTGATATGCATGAGCAAATATGTCAATGAGTTTATTTATGTCCCGAGTGTATTTATTCCTCATTTTTTTCTCTTCTTTATTCTTTAACTGTATACGTTTTCTTTCCTTCTCTAAAAGCTCAGCCATATCTGATTCCAAATCTTCTGCATGTCGCAGCATATTATCATTCATTTTTAATAACATCGTACCCCATTCCTTATAGGTAACAGCTTTTAGCTTCAGATTACCATTTGACACAATATCGATATCGTTCAGCCGCCTTCTGTATATATCACTTAGAAAAGTTGATAATTTACTTACTGCACCTCCTTCGTATTCATCATCTGAATCATCGTCCAATCTTTTGTTTGTTCCTCTTTTCTCTGTAAAAGCACGATTATTACTTCAAACTATAAACATTTTGAAATTATAAACATTTTGTCTTTCTGCTTAGAAAGAACGTTACCTGGACAATTATCTGAAGGTGGATTATTATTTTCTGCATTTGGGCAACAAGAAATCGATCTTCTATGCTTCACACAGTTCTCATCTCTTTCATTTTTATTTCTCGAATTTTGATCATTAGGTTCACAAATTTGTTTATCTGCACAGTTTAAAAGGAGGTATTGAACATTTCTAAGTTGTTTTAAAGCTTGACAACAGATATCGTTATGGGTAACATTAGTTGAATTTCGAGGGACATTATCACATATTATCTTTGCTGAACATTTTTCTTCATTTGTGGTTTTATTCTTTAAAATTCCCTTGCATGGCATTAGAACTACACTCTTTGAGCAGTCACAGATATTTGAAGGCTTATTTTGAACATTTTTTGCTTTGACTGTTGCTGCAGGAGGCTTATTAGAAAGATTGAAACAGTTTTTATTACAATTTGAAAACATTGCGTTTTCCATACCATCACCTTCCATATTCTTGCTTGGAGAGGGACAGTCGTTTCTTTCATAAAAAGTAGAATTATCATTTAGTGCATTACTACAATTACCAGGAGGTTGGTATTGTGGATTTTTTGTTCTGTTGACAGAAAAAGCTGACTTTCCATTAGAAAATTGAGAACAATCAGCATTAAAGGCACCGCCATTTTTATTTATGTTGACATTAAATGGTGGGACAAAATCAGGATCTTCGATACCAAACTGAGGATTTCTGCAATTAGAAGATGAAACCGGTTTATGTGCACAGTTACAAATACATTTTGAATTACTTCTATTATGACGTACTTTGTTGCTTATATTTAAACGATCATTTGCAGTATTATTTCTCGAACATCTATTACAAGGGCTTGAAGTTCTATTTTGTGTACCCTGAAAATTGCCTTTATAATTCATAGAAATATTAGCATTACATGGAGAGTTTGCTCGGAAAGGACGCCCTTCATTGCTTACACATGAACGATCTTTTTCAATCCTATTTATCAAACTTCTTTCACAAGGACCGTTTCCTTTATAATTCATGGAAGCATTGGCATCACATGGAGTATTTGGTCGGGTAGGGCGTCCTTCGTTGCTTCCACACGAACGATCTCTTCCAGTACTATTTCTTGAATTGCAATTAAAAGATTGCACAGCTGTATTACGTGTAATATTATCATTACATGGAGAGTTTGCTCGGAAAGGACGTCCTTCATTCATACATGAACCATCTTTTTCCCTGCGATTTATCAAACTTCTTTTACAAGGTTCTGAAGCACTAGAATTCACAGAAGCATTAGTATTACATGGAGAATTGGAACGGGTAGCGCGTCTTTCGTTGCTCACACAAGAAAGATCTTTTCCTGTACTATTTCTTGAACTGCAATGAAAAGGCTCTACAGCTGTATTAAGTGAGCTTTGATAATTTCCTTTATAATTCATGGAAGCATTAGCAGTACATGGGGAGTTTGCTCGGAAAGGACGAGCTTCGTTGCCTACACGCGACCGATCTTTTCCAGCATTATTCATCGGATTTCTTTTACAAGGTTCTGTATCTGTGTTATATATATTCTGATAATTCCCTTTATAATTCATGGAAGTATTAGCATTACATGGAGTATTTGGTCGGGAAGGAGGACCTTCGTTGCCTACACATGAATTGTCTTTTACAACATTATTCATCAAATTTCCTTTACAAGGTTCTGGAACAGTGTTATGTTTATTCTGACAAATCTTTTTATAATTCATGGAAGTATTAGCATTATGTGGAGAGTTTGCTCGGAAAAAACGTCCTTCGTTGCCTATAAATGATCGATACTTTTCAACATTATTCATCAAATTTCTTTTACAAGGTTCTGGAGCTGTGCTATGTCTATTCTGGCAATTCCTTTCAAAATTCATGGAAGTATTAGCATCACATGGAGAGGTTGATCGGGTCAGACCTCCTTTGTTGCTTATACACGACCGATCTTTTTCAGCATTATTCATCGGATTTGTTTTACAAGGTTCTGGAGCTGTGTTATGTGTATTCTCACAATTCTCTTTAAAATTCGTGGAAGTCCTAGCAATACATGGAGCATTTGGTCGAGTGCGACGTCCCTCGTTGCTTACACACGACCGATCTTTTTCAGAATTATTCATCGAAATTGTTTTACAAAGTTCTGAGGCTGTGTTATGTGTATTCTGACAATTCCCTTTAAAATTCATAGAAGTACTAGCAATACATGGAGCATTTGGTCGGGTAGGACATCGTTCTTTGGCTACAATTGAATGTTCTCTTCCAGTATTATTCATCGAATTTTTTTTACAAGGTTCTGGAGCTGTGTTAAGTCTATTCTGACAATTCCTTTCGAAATTCATGAAAGTATTAGCATCACATGGAGAGTTTGCTCGGGTGGGACGCCCTTTGTTGCTTACACACAACCGATCTTTTTCAGCATTATTCATCGAATTTGTTTTACAAGGTTCTGAAGCTGTGTTATGTGTATTCTGACAATTCCCTTTAAAATTCATTGAAATATTAGCAATGCATGGAGCATTTGGTCGGGGAGGACGTCGTTCTTTGTCTACACATAATTGATCTCGTCCAGTATTATTTATCAAATTTCTTTTACAAGGTTCTGGAGCTGTGTTATGTCTACTCTGGCAATTCCTTTTAAAATTCATGGAAGTATTAGCATCACATGGAGAGTTTGCTCGGAAGGGACCTCCTTTGTTGCTTATACACGACCGATCTTTTTCAGCATTATTCATCGGATTTCTTTTACAAGGTTCTGGAGCTGTGTTATGTGTATTTTGACAATTCCTTTTAAAATTCACATAAGTATTAGTATTACATGGAGTATTTGGTCCGGTAGAACGTTCTTCCTTGCTCACACATGAACGATCATTTCCAGTATTATTTATCGAATTTCTTTTACAAGGTTCTGAAGCTGTGTTGTATCTATTCTGACAATTCCTTTCATAATTCATGGGAATATTAGCACCACAAGAAGAATTTGGTCGGGGAGGACATCGTTCTTTGGGTACAATTGAATGGTCTTTTCCAGTACTATTAATCGAATTTGTTTTACAAGGGTCTGAAGCCGTGTTATTTGTATTTTGACAATTCCCTTTAAGATTCATTGAAGTATTAGCATCACATGGAGAGTTTGCTCGGGTGGAACGCCCTTTGTTGCTTACACACGACCGATCTTTTTCAGCATTATTCATCGAATTTCTTTTACAAGGTTCTGGAGCTGTGTTGTATCTATTCTGACAATTCCTTTCATAATTCATGGAAGTATTAGCAGCACAAGAAGAATTTGGTCGGGGAGGACATCGTTCTTTGGGTACAATTGAATGATTTCTTCCAGTATTATTTATCGAATTTGTTTTACAAGGGTCTGAAGCCGTGTTATTTGTATTTTGACAATTCCCTTTAAGATTCATTGAAGTATTAGCATCACATGGAGAGTTTGCTCGGGTGGAACGCCCTTTGTTGCTTACACACGGCCGATCTTTTTCAGCATTATTCATCGAATTTCTTTTACAAGGTTCTGGCGCTGTGCTATGTGTATTTTGACAATTCCTTTTAAAATTCATATAAGTATTAGTATTACATGGAGTATTTGGTCCGGTAGAACGTTTTTCCTTGCTCACACATGAACGATCATTTCCAGTATTATTTATCGAATTTCTTTTACAAGGTTCTGAAGCTGTGTTGTAGCTATTCTGACAATTCCTTTCATAATTCATGGAAGTAGTAGCATCACAAGAAGAATTTGGTCGGGGAGGACATCGTTCTTTGGGTACAATTGAATGATCTCTTCCAGTACTATTTATCGAATTTGTTTTACAAGGGTCTGAAGCCGTGTTATTTGTATTTTGACAATTCCCTTTAAGATTCATTAAAGTATTAGCATCACATGGAGAGTTTGCTCGGGTGGAACGCCCTTTGTTGCTTACACACGGCCGATCTTTTTCAGCATTATTCATCGAATTTGTTTTACAAGGATCTGTAGCTTTGTTATGTATATTCTGACAATTCCCTTTAAAATTCATTGCAGTATTAGAAATACATGGAGCATTTGGTCCGGCAGGACGTCGTTCTTTGTCTACACATGAATGATCTCTTCCAATATTATTCATCGGATTTGTTTTACAAGGTTCTGGAGCTATGTTAAGTTTATTCTGACAATTCCTTTCAAAATTCATGAAAGTATTAGCATCACATGGAGAGTTTGCTCGGGTGGAACGCCCTTTGTTGCTTATACACGACCGATCTTTTTCAGCATTATTCATCGAATTTGTTTTACAAGGATCTGTAGCTTTGTTATGTATATTCTGACAATTCCCTTTAAAATTCATTGCAGTATTAGAAATACATGGAGCATTTGGTCCGGCAGGACGTCGTTCTTTGTCTACACATGAATGATCTCTTCCAATATTATTCATCGGATTTGTTTTACAAGGTTCTGGAGCTATGTTAAGTTTATTCTGACAATTCCTTTCAAAATTCATGAAAGTATTAGTATCACATGGAGAGTTTGCTCGGGTGGAACGCCCTTTGTTGCTTATACACGACCGATCTTTTTCAGCATTATTCAACAAATTTCTTTTACAAGGTTCTGGAGCAGTGTTGTATGTATTCTCACAATTCCCTTTAAAACGTATGGAAGTATTAACAATACATGGAGTATTTGGTCGGGTAGAACGTCCCTCCTTGCTCACACATGAACGATCATTTTCAGCATTATTCTTCGAATTTTTTTTATAAGATGCTGGAGCTGTGTTATGTGTAGTTTGACAATTCGTTTTAAAATTCATATAAGTATTAGTATTACATGGTGTAATTGGTCGGGTTGGACGTCCTTCGTTGCTGACACATAAACGATCTTTTCCAGTGTTACACACCATATTTCTTCTAAAGGGTTCTGGAGCTGCGTTATGTGTATTCTGACAACTCCCTTTAAAATTCATAGAAGTATTACCATTACATGGATCGTTTTGTCGGGTAGGACGTCCTTCCTTGCTCACACATGAACGATCATTTCCAGCATTATTCATCGAATTTTTTCTAAATGGTTCTGAAGCAGTGTTATGTGCGTTTTGACAATTCCTGTTATAATTCATGGAAGTATTTGGCCGGGTAGGATGTCCTTCGTTGCCTACACATGAATGATCTTTTCCAGCATTAATCATCAAATTTCTTTTACAAAGTTCTGAAGCTGTGTTAAGTGTGTTTTCACAATTCCCTTTAAAATTCATGGAAGTACTAAAAATACATGGATTATTTGGTCGGATAAAACGTCCTTCATTGCTCACACAAGAACGATCATTTCCAGCTTTATTCATCGAATTTTTTCTAAAGGGTTCTGGAGCAGTGTTATATTCATTTTGAAAATTGCGGTTATAATTCATGGAAGTATTAGCGTTACATGGCATATTTGACCGGGTAGTACGCCCTTCGTTGCCTACACATGAATAGTCTTCTTCAGCATAATTCATCATTTTTGGTTTACAAGGTTCTGAAGCTGTGTTATATGTATTCTGACAATTCCTTTTAAAATTCATAGACGTATTAGCATTACGTGGAGGATTTGTTCGGGTAGGACCTCCTTCGTTGCCTACACAGGAGTAATCTTTTTCAGTGTTATTAATCGAACATCTCTTACAAGGTTCTGGAGCTGTGTTACGTGTATTCTGACAATTTCGTTTAAAATTTAAGGAAGTATTAATATTACATGGGCCATTTACTGCATAAGTGCGTCCTTCGTATTGTACATCTGAGCGATCTTTTCCAGTAATATTTATCGAATTTCTTTTAGAGGGGTCTGGAGCTATATTTTGTGCATACTGACAAGTACTTTTATAATTGGTGGAAGTGTTAGTATTGCAAGGAGTGTTTAGTACTTTAGGACGTCGTTCTTTGATTGCAGATGATTGATATTTTGCTGTATTATTTCCCATATTACTAATGTTAGGTTCTGAAGTAGAGTTATGTGTATACTTACAATTGCCTTTAAAATTCATGGGAGTATTAGCATTACATTGAGCATTTGTTCTATTAGCACGCCGATCGTTGTTTACCCCTGATTGTTCTTTTGTGATATCATTTCTCATATATCTAATGTTAGGTTCTGAAGCTGAGTTGTGTGTATATTGGTAATTACCTCTAAAATTCATGGAAGTATTAGCATTACATAAAGCATTTGTTTTATTCGAATGCCCGTCGTTGTTTAACCATGAACAATTGTTTTCAGAATTATTTCTTGAATTTGTGTTACAAGGTCCTGTGGCTGCATTTTGTGCGCGGTCATAGTTTCCATTATAATTGGTGGATGTATTAGTGTTACACCCCTTAGGAGCTGCAAGATCATTGCCTCCGCTCTTTCTGTCAACACCAGGATAACAATGATTAGTATGCCCAAAATTTTCTGCGAATTTTGCTTTTTGCTGTTCTCTCCAAGGGCAAACACTTACAGTTTCTTTTCTAATATTTCTAATATTGGGCCTCGCAGTGCCATTGCCAGCATATGTACAACTGTATTGAGGTGGAGGTGTGAAACTTCTCATTGTATGAGCAGTCGAAGTAGGCACATTATTGGCTTTGTTAACAGCTTTGTTAACATCTCTCGTATTTATATGATTTGCTACGGAACATGTTTTTTTGGGATTTATACATGTTTGTTCGTTTGTTGTTTTATTTCTTATAAATCTCTCAATAGATTTTGATCGAGGGGGCAACTCATTTTGTCCTATTGCTTTAGAAATGGAGGGAGAACTTGCTGTTCTGTTACAATGAACTATTGCATTTACTGCACTATTACTTCCAATGTTCCTGCCTATATTCGTAAAATGAGGACATCTATAAAAGAAATTTTCAGCAAAATTTTTTACTATATTGGATGGTCGCATTCCAGTAGTTCCACCTAATGACTTATTTGGGGAAAAGTATTGGCATTTTTTCAATTTTTTGTATGCCTGAATATTGGATTTGCTGTTTGTTTTGGAGTTTTGAGCAGTACTTGAGTTATCAGTATGGTTTGAAGCAGCGTCATCTTTGTTGATTTCGCTCCAGCTAGGACATCGGGGGTATTCATATACAGTAGTTTTACCGAAAGTCACTCTCTTGCATTTTTTGGAAGACTCATTTATATTCATTCTTTTTTAGATTTTATTATTTATTAATTATGAATGAAACAGAAAATTTTGAGCCTAATGAATTTTGAACTATTTCTGCTAAAAATCTAAACTAAACTAAAAATATTTCATTTTTTTTTTAAATTCCATTTGATGTTTGAAAAATCATATCTTTAAATGTCATGTGCTAATGTTGCTGCTTTAAATTTAAAAATTTGAAATTTTGAATTAAAATTTAACTTCAAAAGATGCATTACATTAAAGTAATTGTAGATTATAACTGTAATAATGTATTCCAATAAAATAATTAAATAATTCATAATCCCATTAATTAGTATAATTAATTAATTCGCAATCATGTGAATTTAAGTAATTGATTCATGGGAAAATAATATTCGCTTTACGATTGATAAGTTCTTTGTTCCAGGACCAATAAAAAAATTAGTTTCAACTAAGGATGTAATAAACATTACTGAGAAGCTTCTTTCATAACGTCTTCACCGCTAGAATATTCCCAAGGTAAAGCATGCCTGTCGTAGGAGGTGACTAAAATGTGATACTGTGTGAGGTATAAATGGTACTGAGTAAATTTTATTTGTTGTGAAATCTGATACCACGGGTGAGCTTTGTATCTACTTGCTATAATAATAATAATAATAATAATAATAATAATATAATAATAATAATATAATAATATAATAATAATAATATAATAATAATAATAATAATAATAATAATAATAATAATAATAATAATAATAATAATAATAATAATAATAATAATATAATAATAATAATAATAATAATAATAATAATAATAATAATAATAATAATAATAATAATAATAATAATAATAATAATAATAATAATAATAATAATAATAATAATAATAATAATAATAATAATAATAATAATAATTAGACCAATAACCAATGAACTGCAACGGTGCCAATAATAAATTCTGTTGATAATATTGATAAATTTTAGAAAACAAGGTATATTATTATTTACATTAAAACTTTTTCAATATATAATCGTTCTGGTAACTGATTTGGGAGTACTGTGATATACCATGCATATACCATAATGAACATCCAATACATCATATGCTTAGTTTTAGGACCACCATATTAAAAAATTGATTATTTAATAACCGTCTTATAAAAGACTTTATAATACTGCATACCTGCGCTACACCTATGCTTTCTGGGTTATATAAACTTAATCCGCTAGGTATTAAACTGCTCACACACATATCTCTTCCCCGATTACTGGAATGAAGTTTCCACATATCTGTGAAAATCTACTCCATTTATTCCTAAGAGATGATTTTATTGGGTTCAAGTCTCACCTACAGTGTGATGTTTTTCGATGTTTTTCACCAATCGGAAAAAATTGTGGTAGCGTCTTTTTTATGATTAGAAAATATTATTGCTAGAGTAAGAAAAATCTACATGTATTTATCGAATGACCATTGCTTCCACAAAAAGTCTATGAATTCTTTTTAATTTGAAATGTAGGTGTGATAGGCTCACACATTTTTCAAATTCCAAATGTATATCACAATTACTCATTTTTTGAAGTTATGGAATTGAAGATAGGGATGTTGAGGATATGTCAATAAGTCGGCTATGCATTGACAAGTCATCGAAAATCACCACAAAAAGAGTCCAATCCTATAAAAAGTTTGTTTCTTTGAGAACAAATTTAATATATAATGGCAAGATTCAATTAAAATTTTATATAAAAATCTTAAATATAAGCTCTTTGTATTAGTTTCAGTTTTGAAATCATAAAATAGTTTCATTTTGATGAAACTATAGTTCCCTGTAATATATATAGTATATGGTATAGTAATATATTACTGAAGTGGGGCTCTCAAAACAGAATCGGGATTGGAGAACTTTTTGTTGAAAAGTGCTTATAATGTTTTAATGAGAACTAATACAATTTGTAGAGATCATCAAAGCTTTTAATAGATTATTTCTTATTATTATTACCGAAATTGTTGTTGCTCATATTGATTTTGTAAAAAATTCACTTTTTACTATGTATTTACTATGTATTTATATTTTCGGTTCACGACTGTTGCTTTCGTAGCGCTTCCATGGTCACATACACATATGGACCATATGTTTTATAAAATATAAAAAGAGTTTAGAGTTTTATGTAGGTAGTAAATGGAACTTTGGTTAATGGTATTCTTATAGATGCGACGTCGTATTTATAAACATCAGACTGTTTGCTCAGCAAACTCTTAAATATTTATAACTATTCAAGTGATTAGTAAGAAAAGGACTACTTCAAAAAGTGCCAACAACATTTTTATTTTAATTGTGGAAGCGTATTGTATGCAATGAGTGTGAAAATTAATAAAGGATAATAAGAATTCAAAGGAAAGAAAATAGAAAAATGAAATAAGAAATGAAAATGTTGAAATCAGAAATTTCCCTTAGAAAAAAGCCACACTTCTTCACACATAAACAAATAAGTAAAGTTAATATCCTTAGGACTGACGAGCTCATATAAATTTTGTAAATGTTGCTTTTGTGATTTCATAAAGTCTAACGATAATATTACAGTCTCGATTTACATATGCACAAGTTTGAAGTAAACTCATAGCACAAAGATACAAGTGTAATATATATGGAAGGTAAGCAAAAGACTGCAGGAACACATGTATTAACAGGCTCCATCAGAGGATGTAATTTCAATGAGTTTCTTCTACTCATATCCTTAAAAGCGACGCAACCTTATTTTAAGCTCTTCTTTTCAATGGAATCATCGTCATCGTCACACATGAAGATAACATTCAAGATTACATTTACAATATATATAATAATAATTTTTTCTGCTCTCATTTGCTTCCTCTTTGTGTTCCCGTACATTTTCTGCTTATAAAATGGAAATTGCATTCAAAATGAATGAAAATGAATTGAATTGCATTGCAAGTGTGTATCTGTAATGAATGAAACATTTTTGCAGTTGCACGTCAGGCTCGCTGGTGTGGATGCATTTGTACGGATGTGTGAAAATTCACATTCGCATTCGTATTCAGAATTTGTACTTGTTTGTGTGGTGGTGGCTGTGCTGTATCTGTGTTTGTATCTGTGTCTGTGCTCATATTTGTGTTGCATCCTTGCGGTGAGATTGGAGTGCATTCATGCTTTGAGTGCGAAACATTGTAATTTTCAACACAACATTATGAAATTCGTGTTGACTGCTGCCGGTTGTGTAAGCTGTCGTTATGAATGATGAGATCATAATGAAAATAATGACGTAGCTAATGTTCATGATTACGATCATTCAAGATGACTACTGCATGATGTAGTGTCACTAAATATTTTTATGACATTATAATGAAAAGATGTTGTGTGAGATATTTTTTAAAAACAAAAACGTGAAATAAATGTAAAAAAGAATTATAAAATTTATGCAGTGCATTTTATAGCACAATTCATAATTAATAGCTTCAACATCATTTTATTGACATAATTGTCAAATGCTGCTTTATAAAATTTTAATATGATATTTTAATAGCCATAATGTTTTAATTTAAATGAATAGTATATTTAAATGATTATTTAAATTTTTTATTTTAGTAGCATCAATAAGTTACAATTAATAGCTTAGGTTGGAGTTGTGTGCTATCACACGATGCCTATGTACTTCATCAAAATGACTTCTGAAATAGACATAAGAATTTTCTTTTTTTATAAATATATAAAAAGAGAAGTATACTGAAAAAAACACGCATAGTACCCCGATTTAAAGCTTGAATGACAAGAACTCCGAGAGATTGGTGAAAAATGGACTCCATAAATATTAAGACTTCTGCTGGCCTTTACTTACTGAGCACTTAGTTAATAACAAATGTGTGCAAAAGATAAAACATAGTTTCTTCGTTCTTTGCAGAGTCACCAAAGTCTTTATAGAGTACAGCAAGCCTCGTTGTGGGTCTCTCCTATTTGAAATGACCTGACAGCACCGGTACTGTAGTACTGCACAGGTTGGGGTTTAGTTGAAGCAGCTGACTGGTATATTTCTAGTATTAGCAGTCAATCAATAAAACTATTTTATTAAGTAGAACAAATAAGTCTTGTAGTCTAACAAGAATTTTTAACTACTTTTTTAAATTTTTTAGCTTTCACTATAGTAGCGGTTTCCAATCGTTGGTCTCTGGACCACAAGGGATCCGTGAGATGGTTAAAAATGACTGAAATAGCAAAATAATATGCAGCGGCTTCGTTGGCTTTGCCATGTCGTGAGAATGGATGATGATGCTGCAGCGAAAAAAGTGTTTGAAGCACCAATGAAGGAAGTAGACGTAAAAAAGAAGACATAGAGATAGATATGTGGTATAACAATTATATAGTAATCCAATTCAACGTGAAAATTTTGTTGTATTTTTTGACATATGTCTTATATGTTTCAAGATGAACCAGATCCAACAAAAGTTGTTCGCGCTTAAAGCACTTCAAAATAAATATTTTTTTTCGGAAAAACTGGTCATATAGCAACTATACGGACACCATTTCAGGAATGTAAAATAGTCAATTCTAGATTGTATACAATCATTTGTTTACCAGAAGTCTTCAGTAAAATTCAGAAAATAGTGCTCACACATTTCGTCTAACAACCGACTATTTGAACATTCAAAAACTTGAATTGATGGGTCACCCGCCTAATTTGGTACCCAATGACTTCTTCTTGTTTTCGAACGTCAAAAATAAATTCCGTGGACAACGATTTTTGTGTGGACAACGGCGGAAGAAGTCATTGTTGCATTTTAAAAACATGTTTTGGAGGTGTCTATAGAAAATTGGAAAAAATGTTTTGACAAATGGTTCAAACGCATGCAAAAGTGTTTTCATCATAAGTTAGAATACTTCAAGAAGCAATAATGCAATATTCAACGATCAGTTAGTATTTTTTCAAAATATAAATATTGACACTCGCATCTTACATCTTCTTATAGTCTTATAAGAAGCGTATATCTTATATTATCTTAAATCTTCTTGT